CGGTGCAGCTGGGGCGCGTCAGCCCCTTTCCCACCTTAGATAGACCCGGGTTCAGAGAGAGATTTCTCTACCAGAATAAAACTCTGCACGCGTGATGACAGGTGGCACTGGAGCGACAGGGACGCTGGCAAATATACAGCAGAATCTTCTCAGGCCGCTGCTGGCTGCAAAGGAGGCTGGGAAACGGAGTTTTGCTGAGCAGAGCGTCAGCCTGGACAAAATGGAGTCCTGGTAGGACAGGGAGAATGGATCCCGAGTGGCACCCGCCACTGAAGGACCTGGGTACTTTTCACTCACACTTCAACCCTTTTCTCAACTAGAAAAAGTGCTCAGGTGGAGGGGAACAAGCCAGGGAGGAAGTATTTGTCTTGGAGGCCAAGAAGGCTGTGGGGAAGGACCACACACAAAGTTGAGGGCCCCACAACCCCCAATAAGTTACTAACAACAAAAATAATCCTAACTGCTACAGCTTCATGAAGTGAGACAAGCAGATTCCAAAACAATGTATATAGTATTAGCCTCTAAAAATTAAATTAATTATGCATATATATTGGAAAAAATCTGGAATGACAGGTGGCAAGTTGTGACTTTGGTTCTGAGTGGAAAGATTATGGGTAACTTAAAAAATCTTATCGTTTGTATATATTTTCTATTTCTTTCATAAAGAACATTTATTCAACAATAAGGAACACACAACGTATTATCTTCACTTTTCACAATGTGATTACAAATGGAACCAGAATGCAAGGAGCAGTGTGTTAGACGGAGACGTGACGCCGTGAGAGCACTGGGGAAGCAGAAGTGTCATCGTCCATCCTCCACTGGAGTCCAAATGGATGGAGTCACCTTGGAGACCAAGCCGGCCACGCCTAGGCAAGTGAGAGACGCCTGAGAGACGCCTGTGACCCCTCAACCCAGCAATTCCTCTCCTCAGGTTATGCCCTGGAGAGCAAGGATGCGCACACGACGGCCTGAGGGCAAACCCAGCCTGCTCCTGTGGCTGTGCCACCAGAGAGCCAAGGCTGGTTCTTAACATTTTCAATGGTGGAAAAAGAATTCAGAAGAAGAAGATTTCATGACGTGACAATTATATAAAATTCAAATGTCAGTGTCCATACAGTTTTAAATTTTTTAATAAATTTATGGAAATTTGTTTGCTCTTTTGTTATATAAGTACAAACTTTTTTTTTTTTTTTTTTTTGGCCTCTTGGCTCCCAAAGCCTACAATATTCACTATCTGGCCATTTACAGAAAAAGCCTGCCCACCCCTGCCCACAGAAATTCTTACACACTCATGCACCAGGAGACACCCACAAGAATATTTGTAATAGCAAATTATTGGAAACATGCTAAATATTTCTCACTAGGAGAACGGATAAGCTGTGGCACAGTAACGTAAGGAACATGAATTGGAAGCAGTGAGGACGGGTGGATGGATGGATGAAGCTAGAATGAAGATATCAACGTGGACAAATCTCAAAATGTTGTGAGGAGGGGGAAGCAGGCTGCGGAGGAATACAGGATAAGAAGTGCATCGACAACCAGGCAAAACAATGTTGTGAGATGATGGTGCTTAGGGACGCGGCCCAGCGCAGTGAGAGTGTGAGGAGAGGTCAACGCAGGGTCAGGGCTCCTGTGGGGTGGGGGAGGGATGGTTAGGAACTGCCTGGACCGCATTACACCCCCTGCCCCACCTGCATCCCTGACGGTTCCCTTCCTAACGGAGCAGCGGCCGACCAGCAGTTCATGTCGTGTGACCTTGCAGATGCTCCTCACTCTCCGGCCCCCGCTCTGTGGGGAGGCACTGAGACGCTCTCCAGGGCCGGCCCAGGCCAGGACTCCTTTCTACCAGTCAGGATTAGGTGTAGTCATGGGTGACAAAATCAAAATTAGTACTGGCTTCCCTGGAGTCCTTGAGAACCAGGATTCCCAGCGTGGGAAAAGAAAGATAAACGAAGTTAAGTAAAAACGCTGTCGGTCCTGAATTTTTAAAGTATAAGTATGAACTTATGATGTATTTTGTCTTTAAAAAAACACAAACCTGTTCCTAGCTCTGCGCATTGAAAAGCCCTAGAAACAATGACCAACCCAGTGGCAGGAAGACCCTTAGCTCTCAGACTGTTGTCTCCATTTCACAGGAAAAGGACCCAGGGCTCTTTGGAGAAGCATCTGATTCCAGGACTTGGGCAGGAAATGTCCAAGATGAACCTGGAGCACCTTGTCACACCAGATAGTGAGGAAGCAAAGGTTTCAGGGTCATGTTAGAAGGACTCAGGAGCCAGCTCGAGGAGGTTCCTACTGGCCAAAGACAGGAATTTGAGCATCAATAACAATAATGCAATGGATTTAATATTTAAAATTTACCGAAATCAATGAGTTCATAATGATACTTTTTAAAAATCAGTCACTGTTGGGGGATTAGAAGGCATCAACTCATTGTTCTAAGTAAAAATAAAGGGAAAGAATTAAGCATTTATCCTACCTTTTTCAAACAGTACCACTGGTAGTCAAACAGTAGATGAGGGAAGTTTCTTTTTAACTTTTTAAAAAAATAATCATAGATTTACAGTAAGTTGCCAAAAAATAATACAGAAAGGTCCCAGGTACCCTGCACCCAGTTCCCCCCAGTGGTAACATCCTGGATAACTACAGAACACTATTACAACCAGGAAACTGACTTGGGCACAATCCATGGACCTTGTTCAGATTACTCCAGTTTTACATGCACTGCTGTGTGTGTGTGTGTGTGCGCGTGCGTGCGTGCGTGCGTGCGTGTGTGTAGTTCTGTGCAGTTTTATCACTGGTATAGATTCACACCACCACAGGGGGGTTTCTTGTTATAGAAGTATTCCAGTTGCCAAACAAAGAAGGAATACAGTTGTCCCTGGGTGTCCTCAGGGGACGGGTTCCAGGACACCCAGTAGATACCAAAACCCACGGATGCTCAAGTCCCTCATATAAAATGGCGCAGTATTTGCATATACTACACCATCTTCCCATACACTTTAAATCATCTCTAGTTCACTTATAATATTTAATGCAATGTAAATGCTTATGTAAATAGTTGTTATACTGTACTGTTTAGAGAATAATGACAAGAAAAAAAAGTCTGTACATGTTCAGCACAGACGAAACCACTGCAGGCTTTTCAGTCCAGAGTTAGCTGAATCCAAGGATGTGGAACCCTCAGATATGGAGGGCCGACTGTACTAGAATTGGAATATCTCCCTTTTGCAAGCTCTAATGAAATAATGGATCTAAGTACTAAGTAACAGCCTTAACGGCTGTTAATATCCCTAACAGAGCGAACTCCATATCGTGTGCCTCCTGCTGAAAGAATACAACGTCTGTGAAGCATCCTTAACCAAAAGATCAAAGCCAAAGTTGAGCAGACCTCGAAAGTCAACCACCGTGTGAAAAATACCACGTAAACGGAATGAAGGACAAAAACCACATGATCATCTCAATGCAGAAAAAGCATTTGACAAAACCCAACACACTTTCATGATAAAAACACTCAACAAACTAGGAATAGAAGGAAACTACCTTGACAAAAGAAAGGCCACATATGAAAACCTGTGTGCCACAGCTGACATCACAATCAATGGTGAAAGGCTGACAGCGTTTCCTCTAAGATCAGGAACAAGAGAAGGATGCCCACTCTCGCCACTTCCATTCAACACAGCACTGGAAGTCCTAGCCAGAGCAATTAGGCAAGAAAAAGAAATAAAAGGCGTCCAAATTGGAAAGAAAGAAGTAAAATTATATCTGTTCTCAAATGACATAATCTTATATGTAGAAAACCCTAAACATTCCACAAAAAAACCTGTTAGAACTAATAAATGAATTCAGCCAAGCTGCAGGATACAAAATCAACACAAAAAAATCAGTTGCTTTCTATACATGAACAGTGAATAATCTGAAAAGGAAATTACAAAAGCAATTCCATTTAAAATAGCATCAAAAATAATAAAATATTTAAGAATAAACTTAATTAAGGAGGCAAAAGATTTGTACACTACAAACTACAAAACATTGCTGAAAGAAATTAAAGAAGACATAAATAAATGGAAAGACATCCCCTGTTCATGGGTTGAAGGACTTAATATTGTTAAAATGTCCATACTACCCAAAGCAATCTACTGATTCAGTGCAATCCCTATCAAAATCCCAATGGCATTTTTTGCAGAAATAGAAAAGAAAAATCCTAAAATTTATATGAGTTCTCAAGTGACCCTGAATAGCCAAAACAATCTTGAAAAAGAAGAACAATGTTAGAGGCCTTGCACTTCCTGATTTGACAACATACTATATACAAAACCACAGCAATCAAAATAGTGTGGTACTGGCATAAGGATAGACATATAGACCAACGGAACAGAATAGAGAGCTCAGAAATAAACCCTCACGTATGCGGTCAAATGATCTTCAACAAGGGAGCCAGGACCACCCAATGGAGAAAAGACCGTCTCAACAAATGGTTTTAGGAGAACTGGATATCCACATGCAAGAGAATGAAGTTAGACCTTTACCTTACACCATACACAAAACTTAACTCAAAATGGATTAAAGGTCTAAATAAGACCTAAAACTATGCAAGTCCTAGAAGAAAACATGGGGAAAAGTTTCATGACATTGGATTTGGCAATAATTTCTTGGATATGACACCAAAAGCAAAAGTAGACAAATGGGACCACACAGCAAACTTGAAACTTCTGCGCATCAAAGGTATGCCCCCTCTCTGCCACTCTGGCAGCCTCACCCACCCCCCCCAGGCCCCGCCCCTCTGTGAGCCAGTTTCCCATCCCTCCACCTGCCTCCGCCTCACCCCGGGGCTCCCCAAAGCCAGCTACCTGGAGGCTGCCCCAGGAGTCCTCAACTGGAGATTCTCCAGACACAGGGACTTCTCAGAAACAAGGCTCTCCCCGAGATAGAATTTCAGTTTCTCTTTCCTTCTCTGCACAGGTCTGGACTCACCTAGTTCAGCGGCTGGCCCCACCCCCTCATGCCTTTTCAGTCAAAGTGGAGATTCCAACTTGCATTTGCCTTTTCGCTTTACACACATCACCTGGGACTGCCCAGGGAGCCTGGCTAAAAGCAGAGCCATGCAGCCGGAGGAGCAGTTGAGATTTGGCCATGGCTACAGCTTGGGTCCCAGTGCTGGTGACTGTGCTGCTGGGCCTGGCCACAGCAGGCCCTGTCCCCACTTCCAAGCCCACCACAACCTGGAGGGGCTGCCACATGGGCAGGTTCCAGTCTCTGTCGCCGCGGGAGCTGGAAGCCTTCAAGAAGGCCAAGGATGCCTTGGAAGAGTCGCTCCTGCTGAAGAGCTGGAGCTGCAGCGCTCGCCTCTTCCCCAGGACCAGGGACCTGAGGCCGCTGCAGGTGTGGGAGCGCCCTGTGGCCCTGGAGGCTGAGCTACACCTGACGCTGAAGGTCCTGAGGACTGCGGCTGACTCGGCCTTGGGGGCCGTCCTGGACCAGCCCCTTCACACGCTGCGCCACATCCATTCCAAGCTCCAGGCTTGTGTCCTGGCTCAGCCCACAGCAGGCCCCAGGCCCCGGGGCCGCCTCCACCACTGGCTGCACAGGCTCCAGGAGGCCGAGAAGAAGGAGTCCCAAGGCTGCCTCGAGGCCTCCATCACGTTCAACCTCTTCCGCCTCCTCACTCGGGACCTGAAATGTGTTGCCAGCGGAGACCTGTGCGTCTGAGAAGCCGGACCCACCCCTGCCCGTCTGGAACACAGACCTTATTTATGAACTAAGCCCCATCCCTGCCTTAAGTTATTTCCTCTCACCCTTATTTATGGAGCTGCCGCTCTGACTCAGACCCACAAGAAATGTTTATTTTTCTACTTTTGTATAATCGGTGCAAATAAACAGTAGGAACTGGAAAAAAAGGAAGAGCCAACTACCAATTTTCAGGAGATGGGGAGAACGGAAGAACCTGTTAAACAACAGCAAGGACTGCAATCAGCAGAATCGAGACTCAGGCAAATGCCGAAGGACGAATAATCCCGTTTCTTCAGCAAATACATTTCCAGGAAAGAAAAACAGAAAGATGGGGCCCCTATACTCTACCGGGATGGTCTATAAAGAGGATTTAAAGATCTATCCACCATCGGCAACACAGAGACCTTATTTGGGCCCTGATACAAACAAACTGTTCCAAAACCATGGGTTGATGACGACTGGACCTGGGGACATTGACTGGATATTTGTCACTATTAAAGAATTGTTATAAAAATTTAGATGTGATAATGGTATTGTGTTTTAAAAGTCCGTGTCTTTTAGATACACACACTGAAGTATTCACAAATGAAATCGATATCTGCAACTGGCTTCAAAGGAATTTAGGAGTCAGGGAGGATGGCCAGGTAGAGGAAACCAGGTGGCCACAAGCTGCTAACTGTTGAACCGTGGAAGCTGGGTCCAATATACATGAGGGTTCGTTATATTAGTCTCTCGCTCCTTCTGTAAATAAAAAGTTTTAAATGAGCAAATGGAAAAACTGTGATTTAAGCAAGATAATAGCTTTTCTTATATGAACACTCTGGAGGTAGGCGAGACAGGCCAGGTATGATGGTGGCTTCCCAAGCATCAGGGACCAAGCCCCTTCCAGCTGCCGCCCCAGCCTCTTCTTCACTTGGCTTCCACCTCAGGGTCTCACACGGCTGCTCCCTTCCAGCCAGCACAGCTGTTCTAGCCAGGAAGGAGGATCAGGGTGGGAAGAGGGACAAGCTCCCTTCTTTGAAGAACATGTGTTAGAAGCCACACAAAGCACTTCTCCATCCCAGGGACCCAACACAGTCACATGACCATGCCTGGCCGCAGAAGAGGCAGGGAAAGGCAGTCTTTAGTCTGGGTGGCCATATGTCTACAAATCAGGGCTTCCATTACCAAGGGAGAAGGGGTGAGCGGAGATGGGGGTTCCATTCGCAGTGTCTGCCACACTCTCATCCCTCTGACATTGGTAATCAGGCGTGTGGGGTACCACAGATCGGTGCTCGGAGCTGGCAGCAGAGCTAACACTGTACAGCTGGTGGGCCTGATGTTGTTTAAACATGCTTGTCATTTACGTACACAGATTAAGCAATCTGCTCCAAGTCTCTGCTCCGCTTCGGACGTGGGAGCGAGTGTCTGGCTTCCTTTGCTCTCCCAGGCTGGGTGTTCATCTCTAGGAAGCTGCTGTTCCTGGCAGCCAGGATGGCGGTGCTATTTCCTATGCTGTAGCTAAAACCAAACCCAGCACCTGGGCCTTGGTCTGGCCGGAGGCCTGGATATTCGTTCAGCCAGGGCATGAAATGGAGAAAGCTGTTCAGTCTCTTCCCCAACAGCCGAGGCCAATGCAGCCAGGCGGTCAGCATCGTGCCCAAAGCCAGGCGGTCAGCATCGTG